GATTGAATAAGAGATATAGTTGTGGTGGTGGGGTCAAATATTCGTACACATAGAAATTTTTCATTTATTTTATTTCCAACTAATGAATAAGCAGGCAGATGCATAACTAAATATGCACAGGCAACAGAAAAAATTTGATTTAGTAGAAATAAATACCATTTAAAATTTTAAAATACCATTTTAAATTCTTCTTTTTCTTCCTCCTTCTCCTCCTCCTCCTCCTCTTCTTCTTCTATATCCCGTGACCCTTCTGGACTAGTTAGGTTATGCGTTTTTTTTTGTTTGCCTTCAATCTGTCCTGTGAGTATCTCTTTCTTCATTATGTGCCATAGAATTTTCAACTATGACTTTCCGATTTTAAGTATGTGTCTCTTTTCATTCTATTTTCTCTAAAAAATTCGTCGTTTGTTCACATGTTCATTCCATAGAATTCTCAGCATGCTTCTGTAGAACCATGAATATCAATGTATCTGGACATTTAATTCAGGTCCGGCTTCGAGTTTCCATCAATAACTAAAACCTGGAGGTATTCTATTATGTCACAATCACGGAAGGAATCATTATATTTCTAAAATGGTTACTCTTTTCTTCGCCGACTTGAGACCGCCTCGGCTAATAAGCAGAATAAAAACTTTCTTCTATAGCCATTCCCTAGTTTCCACTGAAACCATTGAGTCTTTTGCAAAGTAGCTTCAACTTTTGTTTTCGCTCAGTCTAGCTTTAGACTGCGCACGCCTTCTACCCTTGCCCCCCCCCAGGTCCGCCCCTTATGGGACCATGTCGGCGAGCTGATGGCTCGTCTCGCTCCCGAACAGCTTGTGTCCATTGATCGCGCATACGCGTGTGACAATGTGTCGCCCCCGTATTCCGGGATGAAACGGATGGTGTTTCTGACGCTGATGGCCACGGCTCGAATGGTGATTTGGACGACGCGAAAGGAGGAAGTCTTGCGAGGCAATCGTCTTTCTCATTCGGATCTAATTCGATTCTTTGAGCATCAGCTCAAGATGAAGATTAGATCGGATAGAAAACGATTGCATTCGACAGTCTTTAGCGAAAGGTGGGTAAAAGAAGCGAGCTTGCTTCGTGTGAACGGGGCTAGCCTTGATTTTCTCTTTTAGGTCAACCTATTGCACATCGAGGTGGATTCCTGTGGAACCCTCCCCTTGGTTAGGTTAGACAAGCTTCAGTGTACCTTTTTAATGTGAGTAAGTGTTGTTCCTGTCCTGCATCCCGGCCGTTCTTTGGTTATGATCCAAGTCGAGATTCCCAACCTCCCCAGTTTGTTTTGACCCCCCCCTTTCATCTCGACTGGGTCAGTTTTATATTTTCCCATTCCAGCCTAATATTTTATACTTTTTCCCACTCCCTTAGCGAGAGCGTCTCTTGATTTTGTCCCCTGGGCAGAATACAACGGTCTCTCTGTTTTATGGGTTGGACGGTCCCTACTAACATCAATTATGTTTAGTTTGTATTTGTGTTTATTTTAAGTTTATTATTGGGTTCATTTCCCTCCCCTCTCATTTTATCATTATTAGAATTGTATATATATATATATCATCATTAAAATTTTTATGGCATGGGGCGCGATTTTGGTAGGTCGCCCTTGAGAGCACGTGGTATTATGGTGGTTGAAGGATTGTTTGGTGATGGACGAGTTCTTTTGGTGAATGAGTAAAATGTAATGTACGAATGGGTCGCGAATCTGATTAGCTAGGTATAAGATAGTTAGTGTTGACCAGCCTCTACTCCTCCCCTTTATTGGCCTCGTGCCACAATTTGTACTTTTTGTACGAATAAATATCAGTCTAGATTTAGACTTTCGATATTAATGATATAATCTCACGAACTGATATCGTCTAAATTATACGGATAACCAAAACTGATGGATATCTTCACGATGGATTTGATAGCCTTGGTATATGACCACAAATTCGGTTTCATATAAAAACCTTCGCAATACAACAGATTGTAGACACTTCTTTCTGTGCTAATTGTGATTTCCTTACTTAAGAAAAAGATACCTCTATAGTCCTACGAAATTTTGCTTTACATTATGCCGACTATTGTCCTCACCTTTGTCGCTATATTTATCACAACGTTTCGGCCGTTGTACGCTCCGGCCTTCTCAAGTTGGTTGGAATGTCGAAATTTATTTCGCTCACTGGGGTAAACTGTTCTAGTTCCACGTGCCATGTTTAATGGATGTCAGTTATCAGTTATCAGTTATCTCCTGTTAATTCCCCTCTCCAAGTTCTCCACTGCCTTAACCAGGTATTGAACTCACACTCTTTGGGTTCTGTCAATTGATCTAAGTAACGCCTTTATCCACTGTGCCATGTATCCTTGAGACAAGTTATTCTTGAATGCCTTCTGATGATGCCGGCTTTGTGTGTTTTATGAAAAATGAATGTAGCATAAAAAATATATGGCCAGTAAATGCAACGCCTCCATGCAGCTCGCCGCGAAAATGCCAGAAATTTTGATTGACCGATAGGTGCTTAAAAATGGAGATAAGAATGATCTTAAAGAAAAAAATCAATATTCTGTACCAAATGGTAAAAAAGAAGTTAAATCGTTCCCGAAGCAGAAATTATGATCTGTAATTAGAATGGAAGCAGTCATGACATAATTCAGAACGTCGACTTAATAAATACTAAATATTTCAAATATCTTGGAGTATGGATGAATTATAACTAATTTAATGTAGCACATAAGGAAACTGATCACAGAATAGGCTGCGCTACGATAGTTTTTTTACGACACAGCAAGATTCTATAAAACGAACACATTATTAAGCAAAGGATACGAATCACGTTTTTAAAAAGCCTTGTTAGATTTAGAGTTTCATGTGGATGAAATGCATGGCACCCAACTAGCAACGAATATCGGAAATAAACTGTCGTTGTATAACGATCTGAATGTTGCAATAAAAATCAACAGAAATAACCTGGAGAAAATATAAGTAAAACTTACAATAGAAGCAGAGAAAAGAATACCGAAATTTTATGTAATATCAGTGCTTCCATATGGCAGTGAATACTGGACAATCTCCTCTCACAGTTGATGAAGAGACTTGAGGCAACAGATATATGTGGTTCTGCAGAAGGATAGTGAGAATAAAAGGGATCAAACTTGGGAGCAACAACGAAGTTTTACAGAAAATAGAAAGAAAACGGAAAATTATATTTACCATAAGAAAAACCAGTTAACATTTCTGTTGTGGCCAAGTATATGGCTAAGTAATAAGAAAAACCAGGTTTTAATATCGTATATTAAACAATAAGTACACCAGAAGAGTATTACAAGACTAGTGAGAGTGTATTGAATGAACTAACGCTCAGTCTATTCACTGTTCACTGTACCTTCTCTCCTTCTAAACTTATAGTAGGCGGAAGAGTCTAACATAGACTCTTAGAGGGAGGACACCACAACAATTTCTTGGTTACATAATGAAAAATGGTTGGGAATATTTGACACTGACAGGATATATTGCATCAGAGACAGAGGGAAACAGAGCATAACCACTGCTTAACGAGCTTGCGTAAAATGTTAGCAAAGCAATAATTAGGAGAAACAACAAAAAGATACATTTTACACTAGTTGTGGAGAGCCATGTTCACCGACATGCTGAAGGGGCACAACACATAGAAAATTAAGAGTATTGTAATAAATAGCAACAGAACTAAGACGGTGAAAAAAAAAGCTAAAAATGAATAACTGTCACAACGATGGAAATTATTCAAGGTTTTCAACAATTATCTAATAAATAAATAGAGTTTAATATTTTTGTTGTGAATTCTCAAGAACAAAAAATGTGTAAATTCACTTTCATCATATGTTTAGGTTTTATTCCATTTCTAATCATCGCCTTTTTGAAAACGATAAATATGGCCGAAGAATAAAGGTAGATAAAAAAAAGAAAAAAACGGTATCATGGCAAAAACTGCCCTTTTGACACTAGGTCTTATTTCTGGAAGGTTTGTACATGTTTGCCCTTACTTGGTGTTAGGAATGAAGTTCCGAAATCCTGAGACCGTCTACGATTTATAAAATATATAATTGTGGAAAGACTCCGGAACTGTCATGTTTGCGTTTAAGATCTCACTCTGAAGTGGATTCACTCACATGGCACTGTTTTTTTTTGCATAGGTGTACGGGTGACTCTATTCATTTGATACCACGTTCTTCGATCAAGGCAATTATGTGCTCCTGTATTAAACTTGATATCGGCTACATGGAAAAGTGGCATCCTAGTAGTAAATATGCCGCACTAATAAATGTGTATAACTTACTTTTCGATACACACACACACACACACACACATATATATATATATGTATATATTATATGACACCACAATCCATTGGGTGAAAACGCTAGGGTAAAAAAATACAATACGAATACACGGACAAAACAATGAAAATGAAAAAAGTGACACTTGAAAACTATCAAAGAAAATACAACGTATGTCCATATACAGCGTCCTATTAGACCAAAATAGTCTCTGTTAAAAGTTTATAAAATCTGAAATCCCTCCAAAAGAAAGTGGACAATTTAAGTTTAAATTCTTGCAATAAAAAAAAAAAACAGAATAAAATTCCCAGCTGTAGAAGAATTATATTTAAGAAAAACTTTTGTCGGTCATAAACTAATATCTA